GGAGTACAATATTTTCCATGTCCATGTGTTATATATATATATATATATATATATGAAAATTATTTTCTACTCCCAGGTAGTAGTTAATCACATGTGTATATCTCTAGATTTAGGGTGTATATGGCTCGACGAAGTGTATGTAGATGGAGTATATCATCATACTAGACCATCTAGGGTACTATGTATAACAAGTATGTATGTATACTTAAAGTATATGATTATACTTATTTTATATGCTACTATCATAGTATTATATAATATATTAAAAAATATGTGCTCTTTTAATTTTTTTTTCCACATAGTAAAGATCTGGAGTATCTTAATATTAGTATGTCAACATACTCAAATTGATAAATGAGTATGTACACATACGCAACGTGATTTACTGATGATGGGAGTAACTACTCCCATATATATATATGTATATATATATATATATATATAGTATATAGTATATAGTATATAGTATATAGTATATAGTATATAGTATACCAAAACTATGTATTGCACTGTTCGATCATGCATGCCGTCGGTATTATTTTTTCGTCTTATTCTACTTTTCTACGTGATGAAATTAATATATATAATCCTAACTATTCTAAATTTTGGAACTATATGCAGCATGCATGCATGGTTATATTTGACCCTTGCTTGAGTAAGATCATGGGACGACGTAACTGAGGAAGCTAGCTAGCTTCCGTGAAGGCCGGACAATCAAGACACGACAGTTCATCACTTATATATATGCACTGTCACTGCAAGCATACATATTATATTATATATATAATATAGGTCGAGCTCGTTCCATGATTCGATTCCTTGATGAATATAATCGCCCTTGAATAATATTATTGGAAGGCTTGCGGCGTATTACGTGCATGTGACTAACAAGCTACTGCGTAGCTAATTAAGCTAGCTAGCCCTGATCTGAGCCAAAGCTCAGCGTCAGCTCGCGTCGTCCATGAGTGTTTGGTGTGGGGAGTGAGATACATTTTCTCACTCCTCACGTTTTGTATTCGATTTATGGAATGGAACGAGTTGATCCATGACCATCTAATTCATCATGAGTTAACACTTATATGCATGAGGAACAAAATTTATAGGATGAACTCATGATGTATCACTAAAAAAAAATATAAGGTGACTCCACGGAGTAAACACACCAGAAGTGAAGCCACTGCATGCATGACCATGACCGACAGGCGACAGGACAGCGTCGGTCCAGCGGGCCGGGCATTGTACTATATATATAAATTAAATTAAATTAAATTAAATTAAATGACGCGCGCATCGCATCGCATGCAGTTTTTGGATGGATTGTGGTGCCTGCCATGGATCATCGGACTTCACTTTGATGAGGCCATAGACGATACATTACATATATACGACATGCATGCATGTGCATCTGCATGATACATATCATATATACATGTCGTCACTACGTATTCTAGAGGCCGTCGATCGACGACATGAATAGTAAGTAATTCAGACAGACGATAAAGCACTTAATTACATGCAAGCAATGCAATGCGGGGGACAAATATTCCATTTCCTGTCGTTTTTTGCGTCGTCTATCTACGATACATGGCCGCTAGCTAGATGCTGCTGCCGTGCGTGCGTGCGTGCTTCCCGCGCTCGCTCGCGCCCCAACTCCCCAAGCATTTTATTGCGGCTAGCTAGGTTATTAGGTAGAGGAGTAGATGACTAGAAAATGGAGTGGAGTACGTACACATATTGATATTGGGCGGCGATATGATCGCGCACATCCATCAATTTTTTATTACTATTACTACACTAGCTAGTCCCTTACTATTAACCAATTAAATCTGTAACTTCGCTAATTGATGCAGCTAACGATATACTCCATTTTAATTTGGATGAATCGTGTTGATGTAAATCTGGTCCTACACCAAAAAAAACATACTAGGATCGCTAGGAAATCGAATTCGCAGTGAGATAGAGAAAACCGGCTCTTAGCCAATTTGTTTCGACAGGTCAACCTCGGCAAAAACCTAAAAATCCCTCCCGGGAAGGAATCTGTTGGGGAGATGGATCTAGGGTTGTTCTAAGTCGGTAAGGCCACCTAAAACGTCTACAAATCTCGTCGTAGAACAACAAGTTTGGAGGTTCGAATGCATTATTATGACAAAAAGAGTAAAAAAGTAATATATTGTTTTTTATTGATTGAATGTCTCAATTGGCTGTGGTCCTAAATATTTATATAGTGCGGTGCATTTATCCCGTGGGGGTCAAAATTCCTTACAAATCGTGCCAAAACCGAGCCAAATTTTCTGTGGTGAAATCTCCTAAGAGCATATGATTTATTCATCTAGACTTTAAATTGTATATTATGTATATGCATTTCAATCATCTCGATGGGAGGAACGCACTGATGAAGTCCATATACAATTTGGAGAAGTTTACAAATTAAAAACCAACTTAACCACTTTGAAAAATTGGTTTCTACTGGGTGTGGTTTTCCCCCAAAGTTGCATTTTCTTAATCTGAAATCTAAATTGGGCGTTCTATATATAATTTTGGATCATCTGAAGAAGAGAATGCAATGGTGGAGTCTATTATGCATTTTGACGGTTGTCAAAACCATCTTAGTTTGGTTTAGGGAACTGTCCCATGAAACACCGTCGTTGTTGGCCCTCACCCAAGCGAGGCGGTCGACTATAGGCCATGCTGACCTCGCGCTCCTCTCCTCAGCGCTAGGGCTGTCACGTCCAAGACTTCTCAAGCCCTTTGAGTCAGGGCCAAGGGGAGAAGGGGGGACGAGTGTATATGAGAGGGGGAGCCAAGGGGAAGGGCGAGCACATCGGAGAGAGGATGAGTAGATTAGAAGAGGAGAGGCCAGTGGAGAGATGGGAGAGGCCGATGTGAGAATTATCTGGATGAATGAGAAATACATGCGGACCCGTGGGTCCATGACTTAACAGGACTTTTATTAACTAAATTTTCAGTATTTAGGTCCAGATCTAATTAAGGCAGGCAAGCGAGTTGCATTATAAACCAATAATGATACTATATTTTTACTGTAGTTGCTAATAGAGGCCGTCTATACCACTTATCAATGTCAGGTTAATTTCTATAGCCGGTTTCAATTTTTATTCAACATTGATATCTTATCACTGCCGGTTTTAGAAAACCTGCACGCGGTAGTGCTAGATGATTTTGTAGTAACGTGAATATGTTCGGTCGCATTGTAATTCACCCGCTCGGCCCTATATATAGCATATTATATGTAGCTAGCTTAAGGTATATTATTATTTGATCTGATTTGAGAAAACATAGTAGGTCGTCGTCCATGAGGTCGATACATGTATGCATCGAGAGGACGAACTGGATGGTCCACGCACCAGGGCATCCAAGGCCGGCAAGCTGCTATGCTATAATTAATTAAGAGATATACTCTGTATAGTGCACCTGCCTGCCCGGCCTATATATGTAGATTTTGACCTCTGCCCGGCCGTGCAGTGATCGATATTCTATCTATCTATATCACCTAGTATGAATAAAATAATTTGAGCCATCGACCATTTCCTAGGAAGAAACGGGCAGATTAAGCCATCACGATATATGTATGTACGTTGAAGTATTGGTTAATAAGTGCTCGTCCTTGGCTTTTTACATCAGCTATTTTTTTCTAATTGAATTATTGGTTAATACGTGCAAGCTAGCTACCTTGTGTAATGATAGTAGCACTAGATCATTGATATATAAATGCACGGGTCATAACATATACTCCCTCCGATCCAAATTATAAATCGTTCGACTTTTTTTTGGTATACCGATTTTGCTATGTATCTAGACATATTGTTTTGGGAGGAAGCTCAGTTCCATGTTTAATTAGTTGAGTTGACCCACGGAATAGAGAGGACACTAGGTACAACTGAATTGAATGATACATAGACAGATTGACCGACCGAGTTTGCATGGTAAGCATGCCTGCCTACTGTGGGTTTGGGTCCTACTGGTCAGAGTAGCAGACCATGCACCGCAAAGAGAAGCAGAGCAGAGTGTGGCCGAGTGGGAATTGGGATGCATGCATATGACTCATGGGATCTACCGGGGCAGCATCACAGTATGGGCTAATGATGCCAATTGCAAAGGCAACAAGCCACAGCTTTTTACCTTTCCCCATCGGCATCCTAGCTAGCTTTCTCCTCATCATATGTGTCATCATGGTTTGATTCCATTTCCATTGCACTTGAGTTGAAGCAGTGTTGGTAGTATCGCAGATTGCACACGCAGGCCACAATCTCTGTGTCTCTGTCTCTGTCTCTGTCTCTGTCTCTGTGTTGTCGTCTGCACAAACACCAAGCCAAACGCTACACCTTTCAACTTTCACCTTTTTTACCGTACCTCTATCTCCAAATTTTTATTTATTCCGATGCGATCCCTTCCCTTCCCTTGCTTCATTCTCTCTCACCTATCGTTGCATCACTGTCTCACTAGTCACTAGAGAGAGAGAGAGAGAGAGAGAGAGAGAGAGCATCTCCAACTCCACCAAGTCCACAGCCAGTTCAGTTGTCCATTAGTACTAGTATATAATTGCCTTGGTTAAGTTCCCTCTCTTCCAGTGCCAGTGCCAGTGCCAGTGCCATCTCCTTCGCTCTATTTATCCTCTCCGAGCTGCCTTGTTGCTGCCGGCGGTCAGTACCTTAATTAGCTTGCTTGCTTGCTTTAGCACTACTACTAGTACTAGGATAGTCACCCATAGATAGTATAGTACCAAAGAAGAAGAACTTGTGTCCACAACCACAGACTACGGTCGATCGAGAGGTAGCAACTCATTTAGTTGCTTTTGGTAGAGAAGAGATTGATCGACAGATGATAGAAGCTAGCTAGGTAGGTCACACGTACGAGAGATCGATCAAGAACAGGAGTTATATCTATCTTAGGTGCAAGTGTGCAACTGCAACTAGTCAGATCATCAGATCAATCCCAAGCACAGCAACAGGCTAAGGTACGATAGGGCAAGAAGATAAGTAACAATGGCAAGTGAACCAGCGGCGGCGGCATCCATCATCTCCAACAACCCCTGCTTATTCGCTCCTCATCTCACCAACCACCAACAGCAGCAGCCACCGCCGTCGTCTCATCAAGAACCGCAGCAGCAGCCGCTGCCTCTCCCTCCTCCCGCCAAGAAGAAGCGCAACCTCCCGGGCACACCAGGCAAGTATAGTGCAGTCGAGTAGTGCCTCTTTTAGCTTCTTGTTGTTGCTCATCGTCATCTCCATGCGTGCTGCGGGGCATACACACGCAGCAAGCAAGCTCGCTCATGTCGATGATCGATTGAATAATTGGTTGGTACAGACCCTGACGCGGAGGTGATCGCGCTCTCGCCGCGGACGCTGCTGGCGACGAACCGGTTCGTGTGCGAGATCTGCGGCAAGGGGTTCCAGCGCGACCAGAACCTGCAGCTGCACCGGCGCGGCCACAACCTCCCCTGGAAGCTCCGGCAGCGCAGCGGCAAGGAGCCCCGGAAGCGCGTCTACGTGTGCCCGGAGAAGACGTGCGTCCACCACAACCCGTCCCGCGCGCTGGGCGACCTCACGGGCATCAAGAAGCACTTCTGCCGCAAGCACGGCGAGAAGAAGTGGAAGTGCGACAAGTGCAACAAGCGCTACGCCGTGCAGTCCGACTGGAAGGCGCACGCCAAGACCTGCGGCACCAGGGAGTACCGATGCGACTGCGGCACGCTCTTCTCCAGGCATGTCGTCTCTTCAGTTCCTTCGTTGTTGTTCCTGCTTGTTGCTTGTCCATAATCCATGCATCGTCGCGTTGCGTTGCGGCTGCTTGCCGACTGACCAGCGACCACGTCTGTACGTACCAACAGGAGGGACAGCTTCATCACGCACCGCGCCTTCTGCGACGCCCTGGCCGAGGAGACGGCCAGGCTCAACGCCGCCTCCAGCGCCGCCACGTCGTACCTATGCGCGGGCTCGCTGGCGGGTCTGCCCGCCGTGCGCCCCAACATGATGCTGCCACCGGCCCCGGCCGCGCACCTCAAGCCTGCTGCCCTGCCGCTCGGTCCGCATGTCGGCGGCCTCTCGCTGTGGGGCGGGGACGCGCTGCCGTCCATGGCGGGCCACATTGGCGCTAGTGGTGGTATCCTGCTGCCCGGTGCGCCAGCGGTGCCCCCGCAGCTGTACGCGGATCTCTTCGCGCCGGCCACGGCCGCACCGCCGCAGCTGGACGTGGCGCAGCTGGGCTGGCTCTGCGGGAACAACGGCAAGCTCGCGTCGTCGAACGCCAGCGAGCTGACAAGCGTCGCCGCTTCATCAGCCGCTGCGTCAGGGAAGCAGGACACGGACAGCGTGCCGTCCGTGTTCAGCGGGCAGCAGCACGCCAAGCCCGCGGCGCCGGCCGCCGACATGTCCGCGACGGCGCTGCTGCAGAAGGCCGCGCAGATGGGTGCCGTCACGTCCGGGTCCGGCAATGCGATGTCGATGGCGATGGCGGGGCCTTTGGAGCCGGCCGATATTGGTCATCATCAGTCGTCGTACGGTGGTGGAGGTCTGCTGTTTAGCGCATCAACCCAGCAGAACGCTACTAACCTCAGGGGGTTCTGGAACAACAAATACGCTAATGAGCCAGCTCACGGCGGCCGCCGGGAACATGCCGTACGACGTGCTCTCTGCCGTGCGCCATGCCGGCCTCAAGGACGCTGCCGTCACTGTCGGGAGGGAGGAGACCAGGGATTTCTTGGGCGTTGGCGTGCAAGCGCTGTGCTCATCGTCGTTGAATGGCTGGATTTAGCTATAGCTACTACCTAGTTCATGATGAATGATATGATGAGCTTTCCTTATTAGTAAAACTTGCATGACATTCACGTTGTAGTAGTAGCCACTATATATGAGATGGAGGATTATTGATTAGTGACTAGCTAGTGTGAATTTGAAGCACTGTAAGTTGCAAGTGAGCAACAATTTAAAACCGATCGATATGCTTCCAAGTTCACGTACAACTACTATCTATAGTTTTTTTTGTCATTTTTTGCATGCCTCATTGTGTTATGTTTTCTTAGATTTGCTTTACCGGGGAGTTAATTAAAACTTGGCAATGCAAGAATGGATCGGATGTCATGGAGACATGCATGGAGGAGTAAGTAGATGCAATGGGATAGAGATGTGTGGATGAGCAAGGAGAAGGGGAGGCAATGCAATGGCAAGCAAAGTAAAAAGGATCGGAGAGATATCCATGCATAGTCTCAATGCAAGAACCACTGATGAAAGACTAGCCCCCCTTAATTTAGTCTACTACTTTTTTATGTGCTCTTAATAACAAAATAAAACATGGGAGAAGAGGGGGTACTTTACTACTCTATTATTGCATTGTCCAATTAAACCAGTATACTTATAAATAGTTAATTATTACCTTTTTAGTGCAGCTTGATCTATCTTTATTTAACAGACAGTGCATTTCAGTAAAGGAGGATCTTTGCTCCCAATATTTAAGGGGGAAAAATGAAGTAGCTATCTTCATGTGCTTGTCCAAATGTCAGATGGTCTAAGGTTCGAGTAGGTTAAAGGGAGGTTGCAGCAAGACAATGGGGCGCCCAATAACCTACCAGCATCAACATGGGAGGGTATGGAGGTACGGTGGCTATCCAATTAAGATGACGCGGCTAGTGGTTTTGGCCTTCCACAAATAATATTTCTATCAGTAATTATATATTGATTAATGACATGCACATCCACACTACCACACACATTTGCATTGCTGTTAGTGCCAGTTAATTAACTTAATTGCATGCTCAGTGCATTTTGGTTGCTAATGGAAGGTGTGCACGCGCTGAAACACACAATCCAGGATCCTGTCTAGAGATATTTCGATTAATTTTTGTTTTTTTCGAGAACACGACTTGTGCGTATTTCATTAAGGCGAAGAGAGCGAAAGAGCGGCATACAGCGCTTAACTATGAGATCATGGGAGATCACATAGTGCTGGTTACAGAATCACAGAGAGAGTGGTTAGAAACCTAAACGCCAACGGTATAGAAAGAAAGGCGAAAGGGGGAGACCCCCTACCACAAACCTAACCGACTACACCTACAAAGAAAAAAACCTCAACGCAAGGCTGCCAGCATAGTAGACGAAGCCGCGGTGGCAAAGCATCCACCGATAAGAGACGACTACGGCGTCAAAGTATCCGCCCGGTGGCAAAGCATCCGCCAAAGAATGCGGCAAAGAATCCACAAGCGAGGGTGTCCATCACGCACTCAGCAGCAACTGCATGAGGGGGAGCCCAAAGCGACGTCGACGACAAAGCATCCACCCAAGAGCAAGCGGCCAAGCATCCGCTGCGAAGAACCAAACGACTACGACAACACCACACCAGGCTAGACAGACCAAAGTGTTGAGTAAGCTGAAGCACACGCAGGCGCAGCACAGCTGAAGCGTTGAGTAATAGAAGTGCCCCAGCGAAGCCTCCAAGGAGGGGATGACATCCGCAGACGCCAACGACGCTGGAAGGAATGCACAAGATGGACTTTCATCCCAAAGCCGCCCCCGACGACACACGCAACGAACAGCACTTCGACGACACCTCCAAGAAGGTAGATGACACAGGGATTGCCACCGCCGCCAGCCCGACGCAAGAAGTCGGTAGAGTTTTCACCTAGCGACTACTCAACCGCCGCCGCAAGAAGCCTATCCCGCTCACAGGACCCACCATGTTGGCAGACGTGCGACCCAGCAAGTCTGCCGGCAAAGGGCACCAGAGTAGGCCGTTGTAGGGCCGAACCGGCCGCCAGCCGCCAGTCGCCGGCCGGCTGGAGCAGGCCACGGCCCCATCCACTAGCTACCGACCGCAGCAGCGGCGCGCGTTCCCGCCACCAGCCATCGGCCGAGGTGGGCGGTAGCGTGGCGAGAAAACTCTTTGCCGCCCATAGCCATGGCCAGCCCTAGCACCCCAAAAGGGCATCGGCGCGACCACCGCCGACGCCTTGGGCCGGAGGCGTCGGATATGGGCTGGGGCGGATCCGGCTATCCGGCCGCCCATCTTCGCCGTATATCGCCGCTAGGTGCTGGACCTGGCCGCCGCCGTACACACCCGAGGCCGAGGAGTAAGGCGTGGCGTGGTGTGAACACCAGATCTGGCACAGGGGAGCCGGATCTGGCGGCCGGCCGCCCTACCTCACCGGAGAAGAAGAGGGTAGGGAGAGTGGTAGAAGCGTGGGGGGAGGAGGGGGTGCTGCGGCGGTAACCTTTTTCGGGCCCCAGCGGCGCCATGCCATCCGCCGGGAGGGTGGTGGCGGCCGGGAGGTGAGGCGAGAGGGGTGGCCCTAGGCGCCCGGCGAGAGACCCCGAGTCACCCCTAGGGCGCTCGGGGGAGGGGCGTGGTGGCTTTCCAAACAGTAGCTCCTCAAAGAGTCAAAATCTATCAAGTTGACTCGATTAATTTTTGTCAGGAGTGCTATTAGAAATAAAGCAGAATCAGCTTAGTTTCCTTGATATATACATATCCTCCTAGCTAAACAAGTAACAACCTACCTGATCCTTAGTACTACATGTTTGGGTAATTGTTTCAGTACTTCTGATTTGCACATTAGAATTGTTGCACTTCTATTCATGGGTAAAAATAGCTAAATCAAGGATCTCGGTCCTTAAAGCTGGCCTGTATCAACTTTAAAGAAGGGTCAAAAGCTCATCGCTATAATTAGGAATAGGCCAAAGGTTTAAGCATTGCTACTACAGTGTATCTTTTAAAGGGTTGTCTTCAAGTCCAGAACCGATAGCCCCCATATCATATCTACTCAGGTGCAACGGGCGACTCGGTTCCCTGTTCAGTTCTCATTTCCGAGGAACCAAAATTTGTTCGGTAAAATCGGTTTTCCCCTCGGTTAACCGAACTAACCGAGGAACCAAAAATAGTGTAGTAGTGTGATGTATTAGTGTCTTGCACTCTTGCTGAATGCTGATGCCTTGCTTTAGAAGTTAGCACTCTATTTATGTATTTGTTACTCTATTTGACTGTTATATTTGTCACTGTGGTTTTGTATGCAATCCTGCTAAAATTCTATCAAAATTTGCTATTGAACATGCTTTGTTACATGGATTTTGGGTTTTGTTCGGTTTTTCGGTTCTACCGGAACCGAACCGAAAAAAAATACCGAACAATTCGGTTCCATGTTTTTAAAGAACCTATCGATCTTGGTTTTACGAGAACCGAACTTCTTCAAAAACCGAAGAACCGATCGATTCGGTTCGGTAGAACCGAATGCCCGAACTACAGCGCATGGGCCGCGCCCGTGTGGGCCGTGTTGGGCCAGTTTGGTTCGTCTTTTTGGTAAAGAATTAGAAATGGTTTTGTATTTTTATTTAAGAACCAGTTTTGTGTAATTAATCTAAAATCATGTAGATGTCAAAAATTATGCAACAAATTTTGTTACGTTCCTAAAATTATGATCTATCTGCTAGTATATTTTGTTCACATAGTTTTATAATATTTTTAGGAGTTATATAATTAATTTGAGATGCTTAATATTGTAAGATACAAACTTGAAGGAATTTTTGTGATAAATTAGTGACAGTGTTGGCTCTGAAACTTTCACAGTAAATTCCTAACATTATTAAGTGCTCACTGTAATTTTTGTAGCTCCATAATAATCAGTTTGCTAGGGTAGCTAAATGAGCTATAGTTCGAAAATATATATTTAATCAATAAAATGCCGAAACACCTTGAGAGTTTAGGACTAAAACACTGGTCGGGAAACAAAGCCTTACTTGACAACATGGAACATAGCCTAAATCGTTAGTCGTTAGAGCTAGCTCACATGACTTGAGAGGCGTAATCGTATTTTAAGAGTTGCGATTCTTTGTTGATTAATTCTTTGTCTCTCTCGTTGCATCCACGTATATCATAATAAGAACAACGATGTATCATGGAGTCGACCGAGGTAGCGGAAATGATGATGCCTTGATGATCGTGTCACCATGATAGAATGCTAACTTCTGCCCAGGCAAGCCCTGGTGCATAACCCCTATTATTCTGCACTTTATCTTATGCTTGTGCATTAAGTTTTAATGAGTCGAATGAAAACCACTTGCATATATATATATATATCATTATCCTATGAGTCCTACTAGTATGTCATGATCGTGTAGATTGCTATGCTATAGGATCCGGTAGAAGTCGGGTGATTACCTATCACTCGTGAAAGATAGGAAATATATTATTGTTGTTATTATATTACTATCACATGGAATACATATGGATGATAATTGGAGACCGAGCGGAATGGTACTTTAGATCTGGTCTTGGTTAGGCATTCGAGTGAGGCTCAGATTACACTTATTCCGCCCTTGTCGATTGAGGACCATCCGTTGCTGTGGATGGTAGTCTGGTCACAAACTTATTATCCTGAGCACATACTTGATTATGAGAGCGGAAAGGCTTGTTACGCTCTTGTCGTGGGTTCCGGCTTTTTTCGGACTGACTGATTGAAGGCAGGGAAAGGTGGAGGTCTAAGCACCATACTTAGACCGGGTCTCAAGTGTGGGGGTTTGGAGTCCATGTTTGGATGGGGACTTAGACCCCGTGACTGGAGTGAAATGGGTTGGTCTTGTTTGTGCCTGGGGTACAAATGGGGCGTGTGTTTTGGGGTACCTAGCTGGGATACATTGATTCGTGAATCACCGTTTCTATGAAATGGTACGACTTGGCTATGGTCTAGCATCGTAGTAATTACTGGAACTTGAAAGGTGATAAAATGGTTCTGATTGCTTACCACCTGCTTGAAAGTAGCATATGTGCTTACATAGAATTGTTAGTT